TTATCAAACAAGGGCTGGGGATTTAGCTCAGTGGTTTTTCCGCCTGCTGCTCAAGCATAAGGACCTGAGTTCGATCCCCAGTACCAAAAAAAATTAAAAAATTAAATAAAAATAAAAGATTATTGGGTTCTGGTCAAATGTAAACATGTGGGAATCTAAGTTAATAGTTTTTGAAAGGGCCTCAAAACATGAGGAAAAATAATATCAAGAAAAGCAAAATGACACATGGCCCAAAGATTTTCTTGTTAAAAGGATGGTGAGTACAGATATCCAGGAAAGAGATGAATCTCCCTGCCACACTCTGGGATGACATTTGCTGAAGACCAGGAAAGTAAGACAAGGAACATTTTGATTAGTTTTACAAAAACTAATCGACAGCTTTGATTAGTATATTCTCCCTGCTTAAATTCACATGAGGAATAGGTCAAGCTGCTTCTGTGTGTACCCGGCAAGGCAGTGATTGTGTATGTGCGTGAGCAGGCACAATTCATTATGGTTTGCGTCACAAAGTAACTGTCTTTTAGAAAGTAGCACTTTAATTTCTGGGAAAAACATCCACTGGACAATTACCATGCTGCTTTCCTTTAACAACTGCTGTTCTATAGTGATGAGGTGCCCCAGCCTAAGGTGACCGAGTCTCCAACCTGAATTAGATTGGCAGAAAAGCCTTATTCCCCTGTTTTTCTTCCGTAAATTAGGAAACTGACTTAAAATAACAGTTTTACTGGAGTAACAATTATTTGTATTTAAAACAGCTGAGAGAGCCAAGAATTTAGATACTTCTTCATGCTTTGCTTGTAAGGCTTGAGAGGCTCATGGTTTCTCAGGAGTCAGGGCTGAAAATACAGACAGGCCTGATCTTCCACGATTTGACTTCAGATTTTTCAACTTTATGATGGTGTGAAAGCAATATGCATTCATTACAGACAAGGCAGATTTTGAATTTGGATCTTTTCCTGAGCTAGTGATAATGTAGTCCACTCCTTTTTGGTTATGCTGGGCTGTGGCAGCTCATGATCAGCTATGTGACCATAGTGTGCTGAGATGTTCGTAGGTTAGGTGCATTAAATACTTTTTCCTTTACTTTCTTTCCCTCTTTCTCTTTCTTTCTCCCACCCCTTTCTTTCCTTCCTTTTTCTCTTTTCTTTCTTCTTTTCCTTGCTTCCTTCCCTCCTTCCTTTCCTTCCTCCCATCCCTTCCTTTCCTTCCTTTTTCTTTTTTCCTTTCCTTTCTTCTTTTCTTTCTCTCTCCTCTTTTCTTCTTCCTTCTCTCCCTCTTTGCTTTTCTCTTCTTTCTTTTTCTTTTCTTCTTTCTAGTACAGAGGATGGAACTCAAGACCTTTGCACTAAGCTACATCCCCAGCTCTTTTTATTTTTATTTTTGAGGTGGAGGCCTCACTAAGTCACCAAGTTGCCCCAGGCTGGGCTTGAACTTGTGATCTCCTGCTCCAGCTTCTTAGAATGCTGGGATTAATCACCATGCTTGGCTACATACATTTTTAAATTTATGATGTTTTCAATGTTTAATACATTTATTGGGACATAGCCCCACGGCTACTTGAGGAGCATCAGGTATCTCTGTGTCACTGGTCTGAGTAGAGAGGGTATAGCCAGGGAAGATGTGAAGGATGTCACAGACTTGCTGGGAAGGACTCTGCTGGCCAGCTGTGAGATGGAGAGAACCACCCAGCACCATGTCCATCCAGATGTCTCCACTAATGGGTATGTGTGTGACCTTGGGGATGACCTTTCACCCTGGCCTCAGCATAGTGACTATTCTTTTTCAGTTTTCCAAAGATAAAATTATACATTTAACAAAGTTTTCAAAATTATTATGTATTTTGATGACTTGTTCCATTTTTTCAAGCAAAATGAAGCTAAGCACATCATTATTGTCAATTATAACCATTAAAACATCCTTTCAATGTATTAACTGAGTAATAAAAAATATATGACAGAAAATTAATAAAGCTGAGATTAAAAGTTTTTAAAAAAGTAACAAAATAGATGAATCCTTTCCTTCTCTAACAAATTCAGTTAAGAGGGCCAGGGATTTAGCTCAGTGGTTTCACCACTTGCTGTGCAAGCGCAAGGACCCAAGTTCGATCCCCGGTACCAAAAACACAAAAACAAAAACAAATTCAGATAAGAGCTGTCAATTCTGATGGATAACTAGTTTGTCACTTTTTGCTGAATGTATCTAGTAAAGGTCTTTATGCTGAATAAGAGCACTTAAAATATTTGAAATCATATCATGAGGTAACAGTCCCTCCTCTCCTTTTTACCTACAGACCTATCAGATCTCAGATCTTATGCCAAATAAGACAGCAATTACAGAATTTATTCATCTCAGACTTTTGGTAACTCAGAGTTCCAAGTACGAAGAAAAGGGTAGGTTCAGGGAAGCCAGGCAGGCTTCTTGGAAAATGAAATCCAGAAGAATGAAATGGACCCATCAGAAAGACCTTCCTGAAAGAAGGTTTCATATACTTAAAATTGCAAGCTGAAAATGCTAATGTGCTGGTTGTCAAATGTGCAAAAAATTAACTCAGAAGAATTTTCCCTGAAATAACAACACACACTGGTTGACATAATGACATAACTTTGGAGGATTTTTAGGATACTTTGTGCTAAGTTCTTGGACCCTATGCCACTTCATGAACATGGTGCTGCTGACTCTGAAGACAGGAAAATGTCACTGGGATCATGAAATAAACTTTTTTGTATCACCAAAGCAAAACCCAGTGCTCAGCATTTGGGTGTGATTATGAATGAAAAAAATAAATGGGAAAAACTGATCTTGGGGCTAATGAGTCTTCAACATGGAGACCCAACCTTTCAACAACCTTTCCCTTTCTTCCTCCCTTCCATGCTGGGGATCAAACCCCAGGCCCCACTCATGGCAGACAAGAGCTGTCACTAAGCCACACCTTCTGCCTCATCTCTTTTCTGATTAAAAAAAAAAAAAGGTAAGGGGACTTTAGCATGCATCTCAGACTCTTCGAGTTTTTTTTTTTTTTGGTCCCAGGGATCAAACTCAGGACCTTGCGCTTGTGAGGCAGGTGGCGGCACCACTGAGTTAAATCTCTGGCCCTTCAGACTCTTGCAGTTTTCACACTTCTTGCTTCCAGAGAAAATTTCTTTAAATGCACTCTGTTCCATCTGCTATAATCTAAGTATGGTTCCTCCACAGGTGGTGTGTTTAC